AATCAGGAGAAGGTGGCAGTGATGGAAACTTGAGATGTCTGTATTTATTTCACATGCTTACATTTACCTTTTCTATCATGAATTTAAGATTATTCACCATCAAGTCCTGGAGGGTAAACCGCCCCCCCCCCCATCTAGCACACAAGTGGGTCAGATTCCATTCCCTTTCTCCTTTTCCAAGACTTTGGTCTCATTCTTACTCTCTTCCCTTCTGCATGGTCCAGAAGGATTATTTGCATTAACATAGAAACATACTCTAGTAATTCCAGTATAAAAACAAATAAGCAAATAAAGTGCAAAAAACCATCTTTCTTGACCTCACACTCCTTCCTAGATACCCCATATCTCTGCTGGTGGTTGAACAAAACTTTCCTGTCACGAATATTTGTTGCTTCTCCTCCCATATTTTGCAAACTTTTCTCAACTCATTCCATGTCATTGTTGGTGCTCTCCAAATTCCCCAAACCCTTCTTGTTAAAATCATGGGCAACATCCACAGCTGCGGACCCCAGTGGTTTCCTCTTTGTCCTCCTTTGACTGGATTCTGAGGCAGCAGTGGACAGAGCTGGCATCATCATCCTTCCTAAAACACTGTCTTCTGCCCCTTCTTATGCTACTCTGACTGGTTCTCCCCCATCCCAGGGGCTCCTTCTTATTCTCCTCTGCTGGCATCTCCTCCTCTTGGAAATTCAACATGGTGGGAAGGATCATCCCCGGCTCTGACTTGGTCGCCCTTATTCTTTCCCATCACATCTTTCTCCCTCATGAGTCTGACCAGTAATATGCCCAGCCCCATAACTTTCATTACCACCCACATCCTGATGCTCCCTAAAATATCTTTCTCATCCTGCGTGCTAGGCTATATTCTTCTGTCTACTTACTGACTTCTCTAAATAGGGATTCCAAACTTGGCATGTTCAAAACAAAGCTCTTACTTTCCTCTGCCCCTAAACCTATTCCTTGCCAGTCCTCCATGTTTCAGAGACTAGCAACACAGTCCGCACAAATGGTAAAGCTGAAGTCCACCGAGTTGTCCCTGATCCCTTTCACACACATCTAGTCCACCGCACGACTTCTGGGGTCTACCTCTGAACTCGTAACTCAAGTCGGACTCTCCCCTTCCGTTTAGGACAGTACTCCTGAAGTCCCATTGCTTCTCCTCCATACTGCTGCAGAAGGCTTCTAGCTGGTGTCCGATGATACACCAGAGCAACAGTTGAAAAATACAGGTCAGATAATCTGACCTTTCAGTTTAAACTCTCCATCATTAGGGATTTTATTTAGCATAAAGGCCAAACTGCTAACAGTAACCACAGGGCTCTAGGTCACACATGTGCTGACCATGGCCCAACCCTCCAAGCCATCCCCTCCCCAGACTTCCTTCTGTTCCTTGAACACACAAGTTCCCCAATGCCGCCATCATCATGAGTTCATGTGCATTTAGCTCTGTGGTTAAGAGGGCAGACTCCGGAGTCAGACTCCTGGCTTTCAATCCTTGAATCCTAGGTGTGTGTGAGAGAGGTCATGGACATCCTCAGCCTCTCTGAGTTTCCGCTTCCTCAACCAGAAAACAGAGGTGATTTTTGTCAGGGTTAAATAGGATAATGCATGTGAGAATGAAGAACAGACCTTGGCTCCTAGTTAAGGCTAAATAAGCGCTGGCTGCTGTTCCCAAGATACAGTTTATTTAGTATCCTTCTAAAACTTGATGCATAAGACAGTGAAATCTAGTTTTCAACCAGCAGGTTACATTTTTAGCTAAGGTTTTATTGAGATTTTGAAGTTCTATAAAAAACTTCCTACCCTTGATAGACCCCACAGTTGACTGCCTGCTCACACAGTAACAGCAACATGGTTAGGATCCAACTCCATAGAGATTTGTGAGAGTCTAATTCAGTGCTGGAATGAGTAAGTATAAAAATTTCCTGGGGCACCTGGGTGACTTGCTCAGCTGAGCGCCAGACTCCTGATTCCAGCCAGATCATGGTCTCAGCCTTGTGAGATCCAGCCCTGTGTCAGGCTCTGCACTGAGCATAGATTCTCTTTCTCCCTCTGCCTCTGCCACAACCCCCCAAACCCCGCATGCACATACTCTCTAAAAATATAATAACAGAAGTAAAAATAAAAATTTCTTACATGTAATTATTCTTTGGGATAAAAAATACACTAAAATTTGTGGGGTTGTTTTTTAAATTGTGATCTATACTTCATAGACTAATGAGCCAGTTTTCTAAAGCAACTTACTTCAGGCTTAGGAGACTGACTCTTTTCTTTCTTTCTTTTCTTTTTTTTAAAGCTCATTTATTTATTTGAGAGAGAGAGAGCCGAGTGAGCAAGAACACGAGTGCCTGGCAAGGAGAGGCATAAGGGGAGGGAGAAGCAGGCTCCCTGCTGAACAGGGAACCCAAAGTCAGGCTCAGTCCCAGGACCCTGAGCAGAAGGCAGACACTTAACCGACTGAGCCTTCCAGGCACCCCAGGAAACTGACTCTTAATGGCTCTTTATTCTTGTTCTGCCCAGTTCCCTCATCCTCTCTTCACACACAATCTATCTAAACTCACAGACACCCCATTGCTAGTTGGCTACCTAAGTAAATCCAGTGTTGTCACGTGGAAAACTGTACACTGAGAAATATCCATTATCTTTGTTGAAGTTCTGGCATGAAATGTGTATGGTATAAAAAAAACAGTGATTAAAAATATATGTTTATAAAAATACATTATATGTTTATTAAAAAAATAGATATATATGTTTACTGATCTATTTATTTTAGAGTGGGAGACAGCACAAGCTAGGGGAAAGGGAGAGAGAGAATCCCTAAGCAGACTCACCACTGAGCGCAGAGCCCAACATGGGGCTGGATCCCAGAACCCCAAGATCATGACCTGAACTTAAATCAAGAGCTGAGCACTTCAGCAACTGAGCCCCCCACACACACCAGGAACCAGTAATTAGTTTTTGCCGGCTGATAACTCATCTGGAGGATTTCAAAGGCAGGAAAGCACTGAGAGTTCAGGAACTTCTATACAGAAGAAGCAAACTCACTGAAATAATTAAAGACCGTGGTCTGAATGTTGCGGCTTTACCAGAGTTAGATACTGAAACTGGTTTCAAGAGGTAGAGAAATATTTTCTTTTATTATGTGAAAAGTAGGTATATCTCATATATATATTTCAGTTAACCTTTTAAGTTAATTTGTATCTTGTAACACTTTATATATTTCTATTATGTCACTTATAACATCACTTGTATTCTGTTTTTTTTTTTTTTTCCTATGTGTCCATCTCTGCTGTTAGACTGGGAACTCCTGGATACCAGGGAATGGCTCTTAATCAGATTTGTGCCTGCATTATCTGGCACGTATTAGGGCCTTAATAAACACAGGCTGAACTCATTTGGTAGGCTATTAAATTGAATGTGATTTCACATAACATCTGTAGTATAAAAGCAATGCATACTAAAACTCACCACATTTCCAGCAAAGCTGAAAGCAAATAAAGCATTTAATTTTAAGAGGCTCTATCTGAATTTGGATTTCGGAGACCTATCTGATCATCATTAGCAAACAGTTTTCTTATGCAAGTTTAAGTTCTTTCATCTTAAGTCCTTTCATTGTACTCTAAAATGCTTTAAGATGTTTGCCACCCAGCCTCCCACCCCATGACTAATACTGCTAACTTACTAAATTTTAAGTCTTTTTAGTTATTCGTTTAGCACTCTAAAATGTATGACACAGTAGTTAAGAATATGGGTGTTGGAGCAAGACCTGGGTTCAAATCCCTGGGGTGACTCTGAAAGAGCTGCTTTAACCTCTGGGCCTCAGTTAACCCACATATAGAAGGAGATACTATTAACACCTCACAGCCGTACGGGGAAGTTTAAATCATTATGCATAAGTATGCATACACTTATAAGTGCCATGTAAGTATTACTTATTGTTCTATAAAAAATATTTGCTTTCATTAACAGGACAAGGTCCCTTGAGGAGCTCACAGAGGTTTACATTCAAAGACAACTTAAAGGATCCTTTTATTAAAAGTAAAGGTACATACTTTCAGTCAGTGATAGTAATTCCTCTGCAACTATGTTTTTTGTCAATTCTTAAAGAGCTATGAATTCTGATTCATACCTTGCTTTCTTCTACCTTAAATAATAAAGAAATTTGTTGAAATTAAATGGTTAAAAAAAACATAAAAAGATGAAGAGTAAGGTAGTGGAGACCTCAAGGATTTGAATTTTTTTGTATTTTAACTACTATTTTGAAAAGCAACCAATTAATAGAGTATTCACCAATTTATGGATTTAGAAACAGTATGTGCACTGTGGCGCTTAAAGCATTTCCAACTCAAATTATTGGTATTGATCAAAATGCAATAATAATTTAAAACTGGATATTTTCACATCAAGTTTCCTACTAATTTCCCACAGGCTAAGTCTTTTCAAGAACCAAAGAAATATTCCACTCTCTATCTAACCCTTTTCAATACAACAGTGATTCTTGAGGTTTTTTCCACCTAGTGATTCCAAGTTCATAGCACATTTAGGAGGAAAAACACAATCTTAATAAAGAGGAAAAATTCTAGAATACAAATGAGAACATTTACAAATATTCAATCATTTAGCACTTCCATGAATGATTTCCTAAATCATTTATAATTAGACTCTCTCTGGCTGATAGACATCGTATTTCAATATGTTCCCCTTTCTTTCGTCACTAAAGAAACCAAAATAAGAGACTTTATATTTTCAATAAATTCAAGTTCATAGTTCATGTAGCTGAAATGTTTTCAATTAAAAGGAACAAATATTGACATTAGACATAGTTGATGTATGCCCAAGTGTCAGAACGGTTCGATTCATATAAAATTTTCAGGAGAAAAAAGGTTGGAGTCACAATGCCATTATGTTGCTTGTATTGGAAAAGCACATTCCCAGTGAAGCCTGACTCAAGCTCTCAGGCCCCATCTACCCCTTTAAATCACTCACCCCCCACCCCTTACCTTCAATGAACACCTCCGCAGATGTGGTGTCTGAGCCGCTGGGGTTTGTAGCCAGACAGGTATAGCGACCTGTGTCGTCCTCGAAGGCCTCTGCTATGATCAGGGTGTGAAGGTCCCCACCCTCACTGCGGATCTGAATATCAGGAGTGTTGTGTAGCTCCTTCCCCTCACAGAACCATCTGCAGGCCAAATGGAGGTCAAAGGACAGGAGAGAAAAAAGGAAATGGTGATGTTTAAAATAATAAAGCAGAAGCAAGAGGCTAATGCCCTGTAATAAGATGCTCATTTGATTTAAAAAAAAAAAAAAAGATCTGTGTCAATGTTACTGAAGGAAATGCTACGTTTTAGACCGTGAAATTAATGACTAGACAATTCCCACAGGTTTTCTTTGTAAAGCATCTTGTACACTTTATCAACCTTGAAATAAGGGATATCGTGAAATGTGGAAAAACCTTTTTAGTTACAAAACAAAAGGAACAGAAATTCAAAGTGTCTTATAAAATGTTTTATCGCAGATGCCCCTTATAACTTGATCATTCGGACCTTAAGAAAAATAGGAAATATAAACATTATGGTCAAAATACTTCACGTATCAAGGGGAACAAGTCATTATGTTAAAAAATCATAGGCAGCAATATTTTTGTTGACCCGGAGACTTTTGATCAGCTGAGCAGTAACAGATGTAATGATTTCCACATTTCTGATATTTACAATACTTTGTAGCAGCCCGCCCGGCCTCCGCGAGGTAGGGAGATGGAGGCTGCGCTATAATTCATTCTTGCTGGTCAGCACTTTTCCTTTCCCAAACAACCAGGACGGCGGTGTAGGAGGCTGCCAGCTGCCAGACAGTTTTAGCGCGCGCTTTCTCTCACGCTTTCCTTATTCCCTGAGCACCTCAGACTCTCAACAGGATTTTCACAAAAAAACATGAAGCTGCCCTAAAACCTCCTCTGAATGTGATTTATTTTTAAAGAAATATGTAGGAATGTGCCACTTAAAACTAAAGCACTGAGGTCTCTGGGACGGTATTGTCTATTTACCTCTTAATCGGCACTTGGATTTCCTGAGTCTCCTATTCTATAAAATTCTCTGGACATTGCATCCTTTTGTAAAAATATGGCATCGGAGGCTAACTTTTTTCTGTACTTATATAGCATAGTTTAAATATATATCCATATTTAACCTGAAAATAAAACTAGTTTGCTAACACTCCGAGTATTAACTTGAGAAACTGTATTAAAAATTAAATATGGGTTACTCATCAAAGAACAGGTAAGACTTTGGGAATTAAAAGATAATGACCACCACCGCCTGGCCAACAGAGCAGCCAACAGAGCAGCCTCTGCAACACAACACATATTACTTCTGAGATGGAAGAAAAGGGCAGTATTTCTTAACTCTGGGGAATTTTGTAATTTCCTTTGTCTTTTTAAAGATTTTATTTATTTGAGAGAGAGTTAGGGAGAGCGAGAGAGTGATGAGAGAGGGAAAGAGCAAGAGAGAGGAGAAGGAGCAGGGGGAGAAGCAGAGGGAAAAGAAGAAACCAACTCCCCACCGAGCAGGGCGCCCGATGCAGGACTCGATCCCAGGACCCTGGGATCACGACCTGAGCCGAAGGCAGATGCTTAACTGACTGAGTCACCTAGGTGCCCTTTTTATCACTTTTTTTTTCATTCATCTTCATAAAGTTGCACAGAACATTCCAGCCTAGAATCATCTTCCAGTTCCTTCTTTTCTGTTCTCTTTCCATAGTCATAGACCAGATCTTCACCCACGAGAACTGACTGTAGATTAAGTTAATGGATGTTGCCGTCGCTGGTGAACTATAGATTCCTTCTTGATTCTGTATCAGACTAAAGCTCTTCCCTACATACATCAGTCTCTAAACTTCAGATCTGTCATTGAAGCCATTTATATACCTGGCCCTGATTCTATTTATCATTTTCCTATATGAATCCTGTTTCTATTAAATATTTGCATGGATTTATTATTTCCAACATAGTCCCGATGTAGCCCTTGCTGACCTTCCTTTGCCTATCCTTTCTCTTCCTTGGAATTCTCTCCCGCCCTCTTCATTAAAGCCACTTAGGGACCGCTCTTCCTTATAGCCAAGCTAAAGGCTCTTTCAACAGATTAAATCCAACTGAACATATGCTTGCTGGGCACCTTCTATGTAGAAGGTATGATTACATATTACAGGTAATAGAATAAAGCCTGGTAAACTGGGCAACTACTTAAGGATGGTCTTTATCTTCCATGGAAAAGATACAAAGTAACATTTGATGGGAAAATAAAGCATGACAAATACAAGAAAGGTTTCAAAAAGGGCAAGAGTAATTGCTTTGCTTAGATGTGCTTCATAAGGAAACCACTGCCAGCCACCCAAGGGAGTATGGTGTCCTGTCCTCTAACTCCCAGGCCAGCAAACCTACAGCCTGCAGCCCCATCACCTGTTTTCATATGGCCTGTGAGCCAAGCAAGAAAGGTATTCATATTTTTTTGGCAAAAATATCAAAAAAGAAGAATTTGTGACATATGAAAGTTACATAAAATTCAAATATCAGAGTCTATCAAGGTTTTTTTTGGAACCCTGCCATGTTCATTCATTGACATATTATTTCTGGCTCCTTTTGCATTATAGTGACAGAGGTGAGCAGCTGTGTCACAGTATAGGGCCCACAAATCCTAAAATATTTTCTATCTGGACTTCAGAGAAAAAGTTTGCCAACCCCTGCTCTAACTTCTTGCTCCTCAAAGTGGGATCCTTGGACCAGCAGCATCAGCATCACTGGGGAGTTTACCAGAAATGCAGATTTTTTTTAAAATTTTTAATTGTTTAAGTTTCTTTTCAGTGTTTCAGTATACCAGAAGTCATTGTTTATGCACCACACCCAGTGCTCCACGCAATACGTGCCCTCCGTAATACCCTCCACCAGGCTCACCCAACTTCCCACACCCCGCCCCTTCAAAACCCTCAGATTGTTTTGCAGACTCTTGATCCTCATCCCAAATCTGCTCAATCAGTTCAGATCCTCCAGGAGACTCACGGGCACACAAAGGGTAAGCAGTCTGGCTGGGTCTGTGAGGCGTGGGCCATACCATCCCGTGTCACTGAGGCCTGGCTCTCCCTCCAAGCTACTCACTTCTTTAGCATAGCAACCAGATCTTATGCATTGTACCTCTGGTCCCTTGCACCTAACTGCATGTAAAATTATGTTCTGTTTCTCTTACCTCTGTCCTGAACAAATTTTAACATCTTTCATTTGACCATTGATCACACAGCCTTTTGTGACAGCTTCTGTATTATTTCCTCACACCATTATTTGAGGCCTACTGTATTTACACCTTATTTTCCCACCTAGGAAACAGAATTCTTAATTGCAGAAAAAACTTCTAAACTTTTTTTTTAATTGAACCCCAGTGTATTGTATATTCGATGCTCTAAAAATGTGATCTGCGGGCTGCCTGGGTGGCTCAGTGGGTTAAGCCTCTGCCTTCGGCTCAGGTCATGATCAGGCCCTGGGATCGAGCCCCGCATTGGGCTCTCTGCTCAGCGGGGAGCCTGCTTCCCTCTCTGCCTACCTCTGCCTACTTGTGATCTCTGTCAAATAAATAAATAAAATCTTAAAAAAAATAAAAATGTGATCTGCTCCTTGTTACTTCAGAATATGCTTCCCATGAAAAACCAAATAGTGAAGGATCTGTAGACAAACAGATTTGGAAGATGCTATAGGTCTTACTTCTTGATGCTTACAATTCACATTTTCTTATCAAAGGCCCTGAAAGTCCTGGGGAGAAGAAATTAAACACTGTCTAGTCTAGTATTTACTCAACTTATTTGACCATGAGATTCTAATTGAGCATCTACTGACATTTTGTTCAGTCATGTGAATGTTGTAGAATACTTTTCTAGCAGACTTTTCCCAAAGAACCTGCAGTTTTCTAAAAAATGAATTAAGACCAAATATAATCTAAGCAATGATGATAGACGAAAGGTTGAATTGAAGAAACTAATCAGTAAGTGCAATAAAATACTTGAAATAGACTTTTAAAATGTCAGAAAGACTAAGGCAACAAGTGCATTTTCTGAGACAGTCTAATACCTATTTTGTCTTCCGATGTGGTTCATCCAGTCTTCCACAACTGCACATGGTGGAACAGGTTGGTGCTTACAGACCATGAGACTGATGTGGTGTTTGCTTTCTAAGCACTCATGCTATTTGTTCTCCACCTCCATGAATAATAATTAAAAAGCCTCTCAGATTGTAACATACAGAAAACATAGTGCAGAGAAAAGATGAAATTTGTCCATATTCAGCAATTCATCAAACAATTACTATGAGTCATTTCTATTGCACTGACACTCTTAGGGAAAGTCAGATTGTTCCTGATAGAAATGGTCACTTGACAGGTCCTTCTATGTTGTTAAAATGTTGTGAGACAGGGTGTGACTCGAGACGGGGAAAAACTGCAAATATTTAGATGGTAGACTCCCTGTAGCAACCAAAAGGGCAGCATGGTTCCTGGCCAATATTTAGATAAGTGTGCATTTAATTTATGATTGGAACCATTTGCATGTTGCAGCTAGCAGTGGCCGAGCAACGAGGCTCAACTATGAGTGACTTCAGGAAAGTCGGCTATCTTTCCTGGTTCAGGTCCCTCACGTATATGAGGACATGAGACACTACAGCCATCAAAATTGCATGATTCTAAGGTTCTTGGTGAAATGGAAGGGTTTTATGTTCAGGACTGCACTTAAAGCATTTCTACAAATGATACAGAAACTTCTTTGACGAAAGATCCAAGTAATTAATGACCTCTCTTCTATGAAATATACTAAATATGATAGAGCTTCTAAGATTATAAGGACCCCATGTTGGGTCCCTAAGTGCATCAATGGACTTAGCCTCTTGTCTTTATCACTACACAATGCTACTTCACTTTCCACCTTCTATTGAAATCCATTCTTCATCTGCCTCTCTATCTTGTGACTTTTTCCAGGGTAGAGACCTGGTGTTTTTTACTTAATTCACTAACTTAATAAGTGTGCTATATGTTCCAGCACAATGTTCGGTACATAGAATATATTAACCATGCTTTTTTATCTTCTGTATTTCTGAGGCTTTAGACATCTGAGCCTTGCTGATCCCAGAAAGTCTGCCTCTCCCAGGGCTAGGCA